GCCCAAACCCTGTACAGACCGTGTCCAGGACCAGCCTTTCCTCTTGGCACATTGTTGGAGAGCGCGTTTGCCCAGGGGCCTCTGTTTCAGTGCAGAAGCAGCACTTGCTGCCCTGGTGTTTCTGGTGAACTCCTTGCTGTCAGAAACTTGTGGTGTCAGGATCTCTCTGCTCACAGTGATCTCAAGAAAAGTTGGAAAGTCTCTTTTCCTAGCCTGGCCTTTGAAGAATGAGTTGGAGCTCGTAATTTCTCGGTCTCAAAGTTGTTTATTGTGTCTTATCTATAAAAATTTTTCTCCTGCCCTGACGAGGTGAGCTCAGCAAGACAGTCTGAGGCACTCTGCCTGCCCCCAAGGCAGTGTTATGTCTTTATACTAAAAAACTACGTGTACAATGTTTACAATTACTTCCCAATATCTATCACCTGTGTTAGACAGTGAGCTTCTACTCTAAACCAATCTAAAAGTGCCACCATCACAGCAGAAGATGGAGGCCAAGAAGAAGAAGGAGAAAGGCTGGGCACACCCAGTTCCCTCCCTCTTGCCTCCTGAACCCCCATACCAAAAACCCCAAAATCTACTTTTCCATCCCATGATAACTTCACTAATACTCTACTTAAACGGTTGTGGCTTGCTGATCTTCATATAAGGTTGGTAATTTGGGTCATAATCAAACCCACAGGTGTTTTGGGCTCTGTGCCAGGGTCTCAGAGACCCCTGGCAGGGGCTTTGACTGCTCTGGACAGCCAGAGGGATGTGCTGGGTTCCCACATGTGGGAGGTAGGGTAAAAGCACAAGAATGGCTTTTGAGGAACACACGTTCTCCTTCCTGAAGCGATCTTTCTTGGCAAAGCCGAGAGCCGTTTCCTAAAGGTTCAGCGCTACACCCACGGCCCCCGGACACTCTTTAGGAAAAAAGGTGTTTTCTTCATTCATGAAGCTCTCTGTAGTAGTGCAGCCACCGCCTTTCCACAGCGCTCAGCAGGGCTGAGTCACAGCGAAACTGCACCGTCAAGATCCCTGACGAGGCAGAGGAAACGCAGGTAAACACAGCAGAGAGTCGCCCTGCGCACGCCAGAGTTTCCTCTGCGGAACGGGCACGGCTGCCTGACGCTGCTGCCAGCCCCAAAACACGGCCCAGGCTTCCACCACGGGCTGGGGGGGAATTGCACAAGAGCCAGAGCACGCTGGGGATGTCACATGTGACTTCATGGAGAGAGAGGCAGGGTGGCTCCAAACAAGGGGAGGTTGGAAATGAGCGCTCAGCTGCTGGGCAGGGTGGGAGGAGATCCCAAAGCTGTGGGGCTGCTCCATCTCCTGTTGGTGCCTAGGTTGGATGTAAAGAAAAGGTTTTTTATTGCAAGAGTGATAAAGTTCCAGAATGATCTGTCCAGGGAGGTGGTGGAGTCACCATCCCTGGATGAGTTTAAAAAAAGTCTGGATGTGGCACTGGGTGCCAGGGTTTAGTTGAACTGTTGGGGCTGAGTTGGACTCAATGACCTTGAAAGTCTCTTCCAACCTGGTCATTCTTCTCTTCTCTTCTCTTCTCTTCTCTTCTCTTCTCTTCTCTTCTCTTCTCTTCTCTTCTCTTCTCTTCTCTTCTCTTTCTCTTCTC